ATTGAAAATGACCATTTATAGTTGATTTTCCCATTAAAAATGGTGATTTTCCATAGTTATGTTAAATTACCAGAGGGTACATGCTCAAGTCTTCTATTTTGGAGATGTAATGTGGCAAATCCAATGCCACAGTCACCATCCCATTAGCCAAACATGACTGGGGGTCATCTTAAATCATTCCATTTCTAGGGCAAGAACCCTCTGGTAATTTAACATAACTATGGAAAGATCCACCATTTTTAATGGGAAAATCCACTATTTCTATAGCAATTTTCAATAGCTATGTTAGTCATAACCAGAGGGTACCCAACCAAAAACCTCAAACTTGGGGATGGTTTTTCATGGCTGCAGTCCACTTGTTACACCACTTGTTCTCCCGCCACTGGACGCCGATTTTTCCGATTGTGGCTCCAGGGGACAGAAGCATCGACGGCAACCTGGACAAACGGGCTGTCGCTACGAAACGCACCAACCTGCGATGGGCCAGCAAAATCCACCAGTTGATAGGACGGTCAGTGGTTGCTACATCCCATGATTTATAGGGCTATAACTCCAATAACTATGGTTTATAGATGATATATCTATAGTTAATGGGGTTTATAAACCAATTTTGTTAGGATTTCGACCATCCAAAATTGGTGGTGGATTTCGTCGGCCCATCCACAGTATGGTCCCAATGATGTGGAAATTCCCGAATAAACAATGGTTTCTGGGGGGAGGGGCTTAATTTATCAACCGAGCAGTACAGAAAATGAGGACAGACGTTGGTCTGTAGAAATTGCATGAAATTGCCACAGGGTCGTCCCCCCACCTTTTGGGTTGTGAAAAGCCAGAACACGACACAGATCCATATCTCACAACATGAATTGAATACTTAAATGTCGTTGAATAGACTTGTTCAAGTAGCAATATGTAGTAAATGAATGAATATAAGTAGATGTAGTGATTTTGCATGTAGTTCAGCAGAAAATCTCCATTCCTTTCGGTTTTTTCGTGTTCCGAAGTCCAGGTCTGGGTGTGTCACCCACAAAGAGCACCGTGTCCAAAGTGTCTTGGCATCAGTGGATGACCGGCAGAGTTCCGGAGCAAACTCCCAAGTCATTGGGGTATCCCCAAATCATCCATTATAATGGTTATTACCCTCTGGTAAACTAACATAACTATGGAAAATCACCATTTTTAATAGGAAAACTCACTATAAATGACCATTTTCAATAGCTATGTTAAATTACCAGAGGGCAATGGTTATTAGTAATGGTTAATGGTGCTTATAACTCCAATAACTATGGTTAAAACAATGGTTAAATGTTATGAATGGTGGTTTTCATGGCTAGTTGATGGTTATTACAATAATGATTAATGATATTAATGTGGTTAAAACAATGTCATAAACTACCCAGGACTGGAATGGTAAGTTTATACCACCTATAAACATGGTGATTTTCCTGGGAGATGGTGCGTTTATGGCATTGTTTTACCCACATGAAAAATGGATTTCCTGAAATGAAAAGTCCAGCGAGCTTGGGGATCCCCATGACTATGGAAACCCCCAAAGTTCTTATACCAAATCATCAATTTGATGAAAATTGATGACTATTGAAACCTCCATCCAAATGGTTAACTGTTAAGCCATTTCTTAAATCATCCAAATCATCCCCATGACTATGAAACCATATGAAACCTGAACGCATGGGGATCCCCCGATGACTTAAGAAACCTCCAGATCTTCCGATAAAACCAACAAGCTTGGAGACAACACTGCAGAAAAATCGGCTTGATCTAAAAAGAGAAACCGAATGGTTTCAAAATTGAAATGACCGGTCAATCCCAACTTATTAGTCATAAGTATTTGTAACTGGGATATATATATATATATATCGGGATATATTTTCTGTAGGTGTCCAGGGATACAACCCCAATGATCATTTCTATCACTTAAAAAACCTCATCAAAAACATCCCCATGGCTGGGACTCCAAGCGAAAAAAAATATAGACCCAGCAGGTGGAGTGTTTCTTGTTAGATGAATATCACACTATATTTACTTACATTGCTGCAATATAGTTGATATAGATGTATATAAGATGAAATATGATGGAAATAAATATATATATATACATCGATTAGGAACATCATATATATATATATATATTACTGATATTATATATATACATGTATATAGTTAATGTAGCGCCAAAAACCTTTAAAAAAAAAACGATCCTTGTCCCCCCATCACGACATTCCTATCGCTGTCAAGGTGAGAAGCAAGATCTCTGTGGCCCATCAGGAGATTTTTTACAGAAATCTCCAGCGGGGACTTTTCTGGGGAAAATCCGCTACGAATGGATGAGGCCCCCAAGATAGCTAAGTTGGTTTATAAGTGGCTGAATTCTATGGTTTATGGTAGATATAACTGATATAACTATAGTTAATGGGGATTATATATAATGGTTTATAAACCAACGTTCACATCACTGGGGGGCCCCATCCTCTATGAATGGATCGAAGTTTGATGCAAACATAGGAAAAATATGGAAAAACATAGGAAAAATATGGAAAAACATAGGAAGAAGAATGATTTTGTTTTTTTATTGTGAGCTTAGGCAACTTAGCGGAGAGCCAGCTCCATATGATGGAGCCGCTCCAGCGGCTCTGCCGGTGTTGTTTCTCTATTCTTGCTCATGTCTCATTCGATGATCTCCCGAATGATTCTTGGTTCACAAATGTCATCCTAGGTTAAACAGAGAGTTCCAAAAGAAACGGACCTGGATTTGAAATCTTATCGGAATTTCACCTCATAGTTCCTCCAGAGTTGATTTTCCACTCATTTTTTCCATGACAAATTTCCTGAGTTAAACATCATTAACCACGATCAATGAACATATCATTAATATATCATTAATATCTGGTGATTAAGTATATGTTGATTAATATTAGGTGATAATGGGAGTTAATCAACTATGATAATAAACTATTTGATTTAGAAAAAAAAAGTTTATTGATTATGGGGTAATTATGGGAGTTAATTATGGTTAGTTCTTCTGTCTAAAATATCTGCTAACTATTAATTATTTGATTTATCTTGTTAATGTTAATAAGCTATTTTCATGATAACTCAGATAATTTTCATAACTCCCATGATCACCTAATTAACTAAGAATTACATATCTGGTTAAACTATATCTGGTTGGTGGTTTGGAACATGTTTTTGCATATTTTGGGAATTTCATCATCCCAACTGATTAATATTGTTCAGAGGGGTAGGTATACCACCAACTAGATATTATTAGTTTAACCAGATATATAACCAGGCTACTATAACTGTATAATGATAGTTTAATGATAGTATTGATATATATATATACATACATACATACATACATATATGTATATATCAGGTTACTATAACCAGGTTATATATATTTATATATATATATCAGGTTACAATGTATATATATATACATATATATATATATGTTTAATGATAACCTGGTTTAATATTGCTAGATCATTAACTATATCTCGTTTAACTATATTATTAATTAACTATCATATCAATTAGTACCAGATATATAACCAGGTTACTATAATTAAACTATATTCATTATCTATCATAATATATATATATAACCGTCATTATATATATATATACATATTATAACCATTAACTATAACCAGGTTATATATTTGGTTAATGATAGTTCACTCCCATTCGCTCAGGAGGACGACGGCTTTGAAGCGATCAATTTCGTAGAGCCGGAACCAGGCGCGCTTGACCAATCGCCAACAGCATCCGGATGCCGAATTGGTGGGTTTTCATGGGGAAACTGAAAATGAGATTTAATGGGATTTAATGGGATATATGATGGTATACCCTCTGGTAATTTGTTACAGGTTGCTATTGAAAATGGCCCAGTCGAAATAGTGGATTTACCCATTGATAGCATGGTGATTTTCCAGTTCGCAAAATGTAAACGTTTAGCAGATGGTATATGGAGGTTTCCGTTGAGTCATGGTGGTTTTTCCCCATCATGAATCTTTAGAGGATGTTCCAGTTTTTTCATCATCCAGCTGGGACATCATTTATGGAAATCACCATAGATTGTGGATGGTGGCTATGAATGGGGAAAACTTGGATTGGATGGAGAATATGTAAGCAACAATTATGGGCTGTGGGTGTATCCGATGGCAGTGGATGGCATGATCCCAATCTGGACATGGTACCCCCAAATGGCTATAGGAATAGGGAAAATGATGATAAACCATGGCATTTTGGGAATATTTTCAGATTTGGGCCATATGTTTGGGAGTTTTATTTTTCCACCAATCAATCAATGTACCCTCTGGTAAACGTTTACATTTTGCGAACTGGAAAATCACAATGCTATCAATGGGTAATTCCACTATTTCGACTGGGCCATTTTCAATAGCAACCTGTAACAAAATACCAGAGGGTATACCATCATATATCCCATTAAATCGCCATTGAATCACCATTGAATGAGGGGTAAAGAATTGACATGAGGCAGGCAAGCAAAATACCCACAGAGGATGGTGCAGTCCAACGAAACAAGTGATGACCTGCAGTGTTATCAAAAAAAACTCGCAGTTTTTATTACTACCTTAACAGGTCATCTTGCTATATCAATACATACATACATACATACATACATAGATACATAGATACATAGATACATAGATACATAGATAGATAGATAGATAGATAGATACATACATACATACATACATACATATATATAATCATATATATATAATCACAATTTTATATATATATAATCATATATATATAATTATATATAGATCAATGACTATATTACAACCTTCCATGTCAAATAACATCAGGGGAGGTGTCGCATCAGCATCTCAGCATCTCAGCATCCCACACACTGAGGTCATTGGGATCTGAATCGCAGTGGTGTCATCCCCGTCTCCGTCTTCGTTGGTTTGTGGACGGCCTGCGCCTGCGGCGTCTTGTTCGCCATGGTCTACATCTATCGCTTTCAGGTGAGGAACAGGGGAAGACTTGGGCCATGGCAACATGGCAACTGGCTGGCAATCCCTTTGAAATGTGGATGTGACCCATGAAAAATGGAGATTTTGACCATGGATTTAACCATGAAAGAGTGTGAAATTTTACCAGGAAAACATTGGGAATTAAGCATGAAAGATGTGGATGTTGCCAGTGAATCATTGATTTTAACATAGAAAAATGGTGATGCTTGCCAATAAATCATGAGAAATGGGTTGCTGGTGTCAATAGATTTACACTTCTTGTGCTTTTTTGGTGGTTTCCATAACTCTTTGGATACTGGTTGGTTTTTGGGTCTTTGGGTGTACTTAGGTTGCAAACCGTGGAAACTGCTCCAGTGTTGAAGTGTCATTTGCAGCAAGCAGTATGGCCATATCAAATGATCTTGGACACTGCAGCTTTCAGCTTCATGTAACGTTCAGGGTTGGCATATTTGGTATCGGCAGCACCCCTTTTGGGTCATTTTTCGTCATTCGCGGAAAGCAAAAGGCCTTACCATGCGGACCATTGGCTGAGTGATGACGCCTCTGAGTCATCGATCCCTACCACCAGTTCTCACCAGTCGCAATCAGTGAGGTAAATGATGATTAATGGTACCCTCCAGTGTCATCAAACGTGGCTGGGCAATCCCCGAACTAGGTGGAGGTTTATAGCTAGGAAAATCATCTATAAATGGTGGGTTCTCCTGCAAGCCATGTTTGAATACCGGAGGATATACCAACCCCTCTTTTTTTCTCAAAAGGACATGATTGGTCCACCATGGAGGAAAGCTCATGCATCCTGCCTCCAAGTCCGAGCAGTCAAGAAAAATACAGCTGGTTGATAGCTATAGCCTAGCTGATCATACTACCCGATATATTTGGGATTATCATATTGCATATCGCCATTGACCAACCATGCAGTTTCAGACGTTTCCCTTTGGTTTCAAACGCGCTGCTCAATCATCGTCAGGAAGTGCTGAAGAGCTACCAACTGGCCGAAGAGTCTGTTCCTTGAGCAGGATAGAGGCGGCCTCCTACAATTTATAAACTAAAGCTATAATCCCAAGGGAAGGAGTACTGGCAGTGAATTACAGCCCGGCAATCCTGAATTTGGAGTTGTATTACCCTCTGGTAAACATACAGAAAACGATGGAAATCACCATGCTATCAATGGGTAAATCCACTATTTCTATGGCCATGTTCAATAGCTATGTTTGTTTACCAGAGGGTATTGCATGCTTATGTTTTGTTTGGCATTCACTTCCCTAATAACTTGTCGGTTCTTCACCAGATCGCAGCCCATCGACATGTTTTGGACAGAAATTGTCCACCTGATTGCAGAGCCGTAGTGGCTATATATGTACCATTACAATAGTTATTTCTCCCGTCATATTCTTATGTAAATATATATATATAATTCATTATGTATTTATTTATTTAGATATATTAAGATACATATAGATAGATAAATATTATATATATATACGTATGTGTAGTATATAATTATGTATTATGCATCTACCGTCGAAATTTGGCGAATTTCCGACGTCCCCAGGCTTTGGCACACGCACGGCTGGTGGCCGCAGATTTGTTGCTACCCACTGTGGGGGCCGTCGATGCCGTTCAGGCGATCTGACACCCAGATGGGGATGGAAACCAAGTGGGCAGCAAAGAATGATGAAACATTGTACAATGTGGGGCCCCCCAGTGATGTTTGTTGGTTTATAAGCCCCAGTAACTATAGTTATTTGCGTACCATAAACCATAGTGAAATTGGAGTTATTTGCACCAACTGAACGCTATCGAACGGGGGCCCCACATTGTAGGATCATCAGGCTAAAAATGGATAGAGCCTAGTGAAAGTGTGATTTGACCAACCAAGCACATTGTAGTTCGAGCATTTCTTGTGAATCGTAGAATCAGCAGGATGAGGGACTACTACATAGTCACACGGAGTAAGTGTTGATTGTGTATTCATCTCTGGTGACTGGCAAATCCACAGGGAATGGTCACATGTTGTAGGCACCAGAACGGCCTCACAAATTCAACCAAGGGAGCTCTTTGCGATTCGAGTGATGTTGTAATAGCGGACCTGCTTCTCGCAGAGCCTTGCTTGCCAATAGTACATTGGAACCACAGGCTATTGAAAGTCTATTTTGCATGTTTTGGCAGATACTCCAACCACATCTGTTTTGGCAAGAACTCATCCCAAAACCTCACCATATAAAAATGACCATCCAAAAAGAAAGATGTAAGACATGTAAGACTTCAGATTCTGCAGTTTCCATATTCCCCACCATCTCCCAGCTACCCTCTGGTAATGAATGTTACACTTTGCTATTGAAAATCGCCATTTATTTATAGTTGATTAACCTATTAAAAATGATGGATGTTCGATAGCAAACTGTAAACGTTTACAGGAGGGTATCACATCTTATCAACTGCCTTCAGTGATTTCCCCCGTGAAAAAAGGGGGTTCCTGTATAGAATGGGCTAGCGCCCTGGTGCCGCCGACCCCCTTTAAAGGGGGCGGGACAGGCAGTACCAGAGGGTAAATCACCATTACTTTTCCAGTTGCATTTATAGTATCTATCATGTATTATGGATATATATATATATAGATATATGGATTTTTCTTTTGCCTTCTGTTTCACGAGATGTGGCAGGGTGTTGTAAGCAGAAACACCCCGGAATCACACAATGTCATGGCAGTCTCGGTCCCATGTTTTGGAACCAGGCTGCCTCAATTTCGGTGCTGGCACATAGAAGTCATAGAAGTGATGTCAATGAATGAAGTGATGTCAAGAAGACACCATGAAGTTGAAGCAGTTCAGGATTAGCTTGGAGAGCATGGTCAAATGCAGAAAAAGTCCTGTTTGCACTTGCACAGTGCCATCCCATAGTATTGACATGTTTTACCGATGGCAATGTATAAATCATGATCTGTATTTCTATCAACACCATTCATATCATTTGTATCAATCAATTAGCTGCCCCTATGTCATTTACGTCATGGATGCCATGAGCCCCCCATGGCCATTGCTGGATTTTGCCTGGTTGTCCGGGGGTGCTTTGGCCTGGCCGCTCATCACCTTGCTGGCCTGGTTGGAGGCCTGGACCGTTGCCGCAGTGGAAGCAGGGAAACTCGCGGAAAATGGTGGTTTGACAACGGAAATCCATGGGAAATGGTGATGGAAAAACCAACCATTCCCAAACTGTATGGATTTCTTTCGATTTATGTTGTTAGTAATAGTAATTGTATGTAATTGTTTTTTAACAGGCTTCCTTGGCGATCCTCGTGGCGACCTTGCAATCAGTACGGTCGGTAAATGGACCGATAAGACTCTGTTACCACAAATGTATATACATTCACGATCAATTACATACACGATGCACAATATGCAATGCTATATACTGTAGAAAAGGGGATGGCGGCTTGATGTTTGATCAACAAAGTCTGCCCTGTTGACCAGCGGACCGTTGAAGGTGCCGCGAGCGTTTCGCCGGGAGGGCTCTTCAACTTGGCTCAGGCGTGGCCGCAGAATAAAGGTGGACAGACAGAAGCAGCTGATAGAAACAGCCTGGTGTTTTGATGATCTTGGATGATCTTGGTACATCTTCGATTTTTTCAGGGCCAAGCTGGCGTGTCAGTCCGTCCACTGTATGGTGGTCAGGCGATGTTTGTTGTGCGCTGCAGTCTGGGACACGTGAGACAATGTACACGGACGCCAGTTGACATTTTTGCACATATGTGGTTGATGGAGCAGATGTACAGCTAGGTAAAGATATCTGGCAGCTAGCCTCGTTCCGTCTTCTAGTGAAACTCATCAGGGGGCTTGGCCAACAGCTGCCGCGATTCAATCACAAGCAGCCCAGGCTGCCCAGGGAGCCAGGGCATATCTATATCTATATCTATCTCTATATGTATATATATATATATGTACAGGTATATTGACACTGGGAAAATATATTTGTATACATATTGCATGCATGTATGTATAGGGACCTATGTGTACTTATGTATATATGAATATGTAGGTATTTTTAGTGTATATGGTGTGTTTGTGTTTGTGTGTGTGTGTAGATGTGTATATTTCGCCACGTTGGTTGGGATCTTGCGCAATTTAAGTTTGTGGGTGTATAAGTGCAACCGACATGTGGACATTTCAGAGCAATGGCATACTTATTCATGTCTCTCACAGGGTCTTCGGGGAGAGTTGGTTTGTGTCGGACCCTTTTCAATTGGCAACATCCTAGCGATTGGCTCAGAGTTCCGTGCCTTTGTGAGTGCAATGGGGCGGTTCAACAAGGCGAAGGCGGCGCCGGCACCTTCTGTGAGTCGAGGTGGCCAAGAGGTGCCCGTGAAGACACTCCAGGAGCTGGTGGCCATGCAGCCGTTGCCGTTGGGCGGTGTGTCGTGCCTTGGGCGTATCGTGTACCAGTTCGGCTTCAGCAGTGGCAGCTTGGCATTTATTGGCAGTGTGTAGGGGTTTCGGAATGGATGAGCCGGGGAGGATTTGCATTTTTATGTGCCAGTTGGTTTTGTGCGAAGTCTCCAGGTTAGATTTGGGATATCTTTGGTTTGACTTGGTATTCCAAGGTCGATATCCGGCCACCAAAGTCGTGATCAAAGGTGCAGGCGAAGATGGACCCACCGTTCTTGTGAAATTTGCCCAGGAGGTGAGGCTTGCTCTTGACGATCTAATTCTGCTGAAGGACGTAGAGATCCGTCCCATTTGGCGGAATACTGGGGGATTGGCACCAGAAACACTGGTTCTAGCATCTCTTGCTTCCCATAAACTCGCAGTGAGCAACGGTTCGAAGCGTAAGGCTGGAGCATTGCAGTGCCTTGCTCTTGGAGGGGGATTGTTCAGTGAGAGAAGGGAAGGGTTGTGACTGTGTTGGGGCGTGTGAGGCCATTTAGTTTTTGTTGAACGGTGTATGGATAATCTATGGATAATCTATGGATAATCTATGGATAATCTATGGATAATCTATGGATAATTTATGGATAATCTATGGGTAATCTATGGATAATCTATGGATAATCTATGGAAAATCTATGGAGAATCTATGGATAATCTATGGATAATCTATGGATAATCTATAGATAATCTATGGATAATCTATGGGTAATCTATGGATAATCTATGGATAATCTATGGATAATCTATGGCGAATCTATGGATAATCTATGGATAATCTATGGATATGGTTGGTGGTATGGTTCTAGCCCTCTGAAAAAGAGTAGAGCTCGTCAATTGGTATGATGAAATTCCCACGATATGGAAAAATAAAAAACATGTTCCAAACCACGAACCAGACAAGGTTTCAATGATGAAAATCTGCTGAACTAGTGATTGAGTGTAAACCATTTCTGAATCTGAATTTGTGACCTAACTGACCTAGGCTCCGAAATTTAGCCAGTGCCGCTATGATGGCAACCTCGCCGAGGAAAGATCCTACAATTGCAGTGTCGATCAGACTCCAGCTTCCACTCTGTGGTTTAACATGGTTTTATCATCCCATGTTGTGGGCGGGGGCCATTTCTGAGGTCGACGGTGCAGGTGGTGAACGATCATCCGCAAGCGTCGGAGTTCGCGAAGGCGGAGTTCGACGTGTTGAACCTTCACGAGCTGCCCAGGGATGGTGCCGACTATTATGCGGCCGTGGGTGGGCAGATTGTGGAGCTTGGTCCGCTGAGCGGGGAGGGCGAAAAGCACCGACGCCAAGTCAGGGTGGCGGACATTGACAGCACCACCAATGACCGAAGCTTGGCTTTGATGCAGAAGCAGTGCTGTCAGATGAAGCTGCATTGGTGGTGTTTGGTGTGTTATTTATATCCGATGGGGAGACGGTGTCTGGGGTAGGTGGGTTTTTTCTCGGAAAGATTTGTGTGTTGTGCGTGTGCAAGCTGAGGATACGACATCGTCCTATTTGATAGCCTTGCGCAGCATCCTCTCTTGGTGCCCAACCAGAAGATTGTCATTGCAGGCCTTCACGTGTCTGGATCGGAATTGAGAGTCTATGCTAACCTTGGCAACATCATGTCGTTTGAAGAGGAGAGCACTGAGGGGTGATGTGCCTACAGTGGCAGCGTAGAGTGATGTCGGATAGCCAGCTTGTAGGCATGTTCCGATGGCGCTAGATCGAGTGCGGCAAGAGGTAACCAGTCTGAGCGCAACAAAATTGTCACATAGGCCTGGATATGTTTCAAGATGATGTCGTCATTAGTTTTCAGAGATGAGCTAGAAGTGGCATTCGATCTGAGCTGGAGAGTGGAGTTGGTTGCTTTTTTGAATTTTTTCCTGTGTGCAGAGCCCGCCTGGACTTGTGGAAGGTGAAACCCGTTTTTTGCATTTCTCCTATGTGCAGGGCCTGTCCATTCAATGTGTCATGTATGGACTTGGGCGTTGATGGTGTGGCGTGATGTGGAAAAGGTTTCGCATGGGGCTGATGGGGCAAGAAGAGGACTGGTAGTGTGGCTGGAGTCTTTAGTAACCCAGATGGTGGTTTCTCGGATTGTGATAGCATCGAAATTGGCCATGGGGTTGTGATGTCATGTCTTGTACTCTGGGAAAATGGGAGCGGTGTCCTGGTCAGGCGTGCGGAGACATGGGTGGCAGGTCTTCGCAGTCGAAATTGTGGCACAGATGGTGCGGAGCTGGGGGGCAAGCCGATGCACACGAATGTGGGTGATTCATGGGTGTAATGGTCCATGGCTTTGAGGAATTCTCAAGAATTGCTAGATAGGCAGATTCCTGTTTCATTGGGTTGAGGGCTTCATTGTTTGAGTCACTTGGCATATCTTAGGGTACGCCCACATGGTCATTTTTGCATTTATCTGTAATTATATACATATGAACATGGTCATTATCATCATCATCATCATCATCGAATTCATATCAATATCATCAAATCCTATCTTTTGAAATCATCTGCTGCAGGAGCGCCGCGAGCAAGCAGGTTCCCGGTTTCAGCATTTCCCCGGGGGGGTTATGGGGCTCCCCAAATGGAGCCAGAAATTTAGGTCTTGGGCAGTCCAGTTGAACATCTTGGAAGTGTGGTTTTGAACAAAAGAAGACCTTGGAAATGGAATGTTTGGGTGTCTCAACATAAAAGTTGCCCCACACATGGATAGTTGTCATATATAGTATACATGCATAATATATACATATAACACACACACACACATATATATATATATATTCATATATATTCATACATATATATATATATTTATCTCTCAGTTCATATCACAATCCTGAATATGTTTTTATTGACAACATCCGCTGCAGGAGCACTGCGAGCAAGCAGGTGGCCAGCCCAGCATTTCCCTTGGGCGGTTTATGGGGCCCCTCAAATGGAGCCAGAAACGTAGATTTTGGACAGTCCAGTTGAACATCTTGGGAGTGTGGGTTTTTGAACATAAGCTGACCATGGAAATTGTCATTTTTATGAATAAATATATATGTATATCAATATATATTATATATATATATTATATATATATTTGCTGTCGTGGTGGATGAACGGTTGATAAGAGCATAGATGGCTTGCAAAGGAATTTGTGGATCATAGCATTGTTTTGGTGCAACAATGCTTCCATGCTGAACAGAAGTTTTGGAATCACGCTAAGAAACCATGTGTTGGCCAAATGTCAAACCTTATGTGGTTAAGTGGGTGTCATGCGTGTCTTGTTTTTGGGGCTCCTCAAATGGAGCCAAAAGTCGTGACATTGGAGGCTGCTAGTGTTGAGAATTTCTTCCAGGGTCTGGGTGTCTTACCATGAAAAATTCTGAACACATGGCAAGTTATTGAGCGTTTTATCTGGATCAAGTCTAGGTGAAGTTGTTGGTGTGTCCATGGACTTTGTTGTGATCATACCAGATCGGGCTGTGCAGGCAAGTTTGGATGTTGGGATCCAGACGTGGGGCTAGTCCCAGGCTCAATGACTCTCACAGCTTGCCTTGTTGCACAGACATGTGGAGCAGGCACGATTTGGTGAATTCTTAGAGGGGGTATTTTGTTTTGACGAATCATTGTGGGTGAGCCACGCCATTGTAGCAAGACTTTGGCCCGGCTTTGTAACTGTAGTGTGGTCGCCCTGTGACGCAATGGCGTTCAGTGTTTGCCTTTTGCCCTCTGCCTCAGAAGAGTTGCGCAAGCTGTGGGAGGACAAAGAAGTCGGGAAGCTGTCTGATGATTTCTTCGCAGTGCCTTGCCAGAAGTTGTTGGCAGAGGTAGGATAGTGGCTTCATTGCTGTTCCTCGGGTAACCAATGATAACCTAGTTGCATACCCGTCCTGTGCAGTGCTTCGCAGGCCAAGAAGGTGAAGGTGGAGTTCATGGCGGGCGAAGGTGGTGCCATGCAACTTCATTTTGCACCTGCTGATGAAGAGTTAGTTCTTGCGGCTCTGAAAGATGGCCACATCCAGGTTGGTGGGGGTCAATGTGAGTTGGGGCAAGTCCACATGACAGCCGCACAGAAAACTGTTTTTGTTGTGGCCATTGGCATTTCTTGCCGTGGGAAAAGGCAACCTTTTAAGGTAGCCAGAACTATTTGGGGTTGGCCATTGGCAGGCAGTCAAGCCGACCAAAGGCAATATGGAGGATGCAGTCATGGAGGATGCACAGTCTTTGAAGCCGTGCAGCAAAGCAGCTCCTTGGATGGCCGATAGAGGAGCTATTGTTACATGTATCATTGTAGCAGCCTTGATGGTCATAGGCATGCGGTGGTGGTATCGGTCTGAATGACCAAGTAACCTGTAGCAGTGAGGAGCTGTGGATTGGATCCAGATGAAAGGGGATGATTAGAGACTTAAGAGTGCGTCGGTAAATATCGGTGCGTTGTCTCGGGCCAAAGTTGGTGTTGGGGCAGCTTTCGCAGGTTGATATATACAGCATTATGATCGCTGGCTAGAGAGGCTTGGTATATATATATATAGATGCGTATTTATTGCTGATATATAAATATGATATATGATATATGATATATATATATAAATACATATGATGTATATGATACATATAATATATATGTATGAATATTATATACTATATATATATATGTATGTATATGTATATGTACATCTATATATTGTACATGTAAATATTTGGGCCATGCCTCAATCTCAGCCACAAAAATAAAAAAGGGTCATCATCCCATCTCTAATGTTGCTCGTTTTAAGGAACAGCGATGGACGGAGGCCCTGAGAGGATGTTCTTTTCCTGCAAAGCAACATCCCTTCCTATGGAAATGATTATCCTTTCATGAAACATGTTCAATTTATCAATTCTAAAGAAATGGACACTGAAATATGGACACCTGGAGCATCAATTACCCTATTTCTCTCAAAAGAAGCTTCAATGTGTTTTTCGCACACTATTGATCAATGTGTTCACCAATTATTCGTCAATCGTGAATGTATCGGTTGCTTGAACGTCCATCTTCGTTGATAAGAAAAACATCTTGTTCTAATCCTCATCTCTTGAACCCAACCCCCTTTTGTCAAAATCGAAGTATCAATGGTCTTTTCTGAGAGAATCTCCGTTTGTGCTGTACTTTGTCATTGACTTGACGGGGATTTCGCTGAGGCATTGCCGACACCGGGGCCTCCTTTGAAAGAGCTGCGGGCTTTCATGCTGGAACTCTTCGAGCCTAAGTTCTTCGGTGGGGGCAACAATGGCCGTGATGCAGCCAAGCTTTTTCTGGGTGGGATCATGTTCCTTGGCAATATAGCGGCCAGAGAGATGACGGAAGTGAGAGTCCTATTGCATTTACCTCTCGCAGGTGTAAATAGAAGCAGAGCTTCATTGGGTCTGCTATGCAAATTCATTCTGTGTGCCATTGAAATGGTGGGGCAAAGATGATGTTTAAGGGTGTAGAAAGATTGCCCCATCTTGTTTTCAGGAGTCTCGATTGGAAGTTTGCGCTGCCTCTGAAGCGTGGTGCGCAATTGAAGGTGGAATGCTGGTGCACGGCAGCTGAGCTACAAGCGTTTTCTGAGGCCGTGGTCGGCCGTGGCCTTGGGCGAGTTCGTGAAATCACGATGGCAGACAAGGAGCAGAGCCAACAGGCCTATGGTAGGGTCTCATGTCATTGGTGGTGGATGACATGACACACTTTGGTTGTCCCGCACATTAAATTTGTGGGGCCTAGTGTTCTAAAGCCTCCACAATCATTGGTCGACATGCTGTCACAGGCTTCGGAACGGCGACAGCAGGCGCAGAAGCGTTTGGCCACGGCTCAGAGCTTGGCGGCGTCTTTGCACGCAAGCAGACCGGCAGGTGGCAATGCATCCAAGCGACGTCGCAGCTTGGACAGGCTGGAAGAGATCCTATTGGTCAGTGCCTTGGCCTTGGCCTTTCTTATTTGTCATGGGTATTTTTTATGGGCAGTCCGAAGACCCTATGTTACTATATTGTGTAACAGTATCATATCCCATGATTGGCAGTATTCGCTGAGTGTCTGAGGTACGAGGGAAGCTGCTCAGCACCTGCAATCTGTTCAGTCCGCCATTGATGCTGGCGACATTGATGCTGGCGATGGTGATGACTAGACCGATTGTTGAGCATCGTTTGCGGTCCGCTTGGCAGTGTGAAGGCCCCCTTTTGAATGTTTTCCTTGGCGGCTTTCCCTGGGACATAGTTCCAGTTCTTTCTTTTCCGTGACCAGTGCTTGGGGTGGGACAATTGGTTCCACATCCTGGCGGAGTCGAGCCTTTTGCAAAAGCAAGTTGAAGGTACCGGAAGCAGAAGAGGCAAAGAGAGAAAATCTTGAAGGAGCGTGTGTGTTCATAGTTGCTTTTGTCGTCCATTCTGGGTTGGCGGCCTCATGGGCAAAACAATGCTTTGGTCAGGCAGACATAGAAGTCAGTCTGCTAGTCTCTTTGAGGAAGGTGTTTGTCAAACTGCGAATCTAAGTTTCACCTTCACAGTTTTACAGTGATTTGAGATATATTAGATGGAATCCATGCAAGTACATGCAGTTCGCAAGCATTTTTCTTTGTCTTAGGCGGATGCTTTCAGCAAAGGGGTAAGGCATCCGTTTCCATCGTGCAGCCGTGAAAGTTCCAATCCGTTTGCTTTTAGTGCTCTCACTATGTTATACCCATATGTTCCCCATAATTTTTCCCACATGTTCGATCGACATGCATGGTTCAGTGGTGTTTCCGCGGCTGAAAGTCAAACCCTTCGCGTTAGCCCTTTAGGTACCATGTTGTCTTGTTATACCCATGGTACATAACAGTGGCCTCATGAATTCCCACGAGGTGACAATGTGCCCCTGCACGGTGTCGGGTACGATGCGGACCACTACGTGATGGTTGCGTAAGGTGCTGCGGCCGTGGATGCTGTAGTTTAGGAAGAAGTGTGGTTTATTTAGATGATACGTATTGACAAAAATAAAAAATCAAACTGACAGGAATGGGATTTAAAAGGGCTTTTTTCCATGTGCGACTGAGCCCTGGTTCTACATGGAGTTGCAGAAAGGAAAGCAAAACACAAGCAGGGGCAGGTGATGCATATCCATTGTTGTTGGTGGTTGTCACCAGGAACAAGTTGAGCTCCCCATATGGTCGGTTTGACATTATCATTATCATCGGCATCATCATCATCATCATCATCATCGTCATCGTCATCGTCATCATCATCAGCATCATCATCATCATCATTATCATCATCATCATCATCGGTATCATCATCGTCATCATCATCATCATAATCATCATCATCATCATCGGCATCATCATCATCATCACCGCATCATCATCATCAGCATCATCATCATCATCATCATCTTCATCATCATCACCATCATCATCCTCATCATCATCACCATCATCATCATCCTCATCACCTTCATCAGTTGTCGTCGTTTTTGCGTCCTGACTGGCAGGTCCATCTGGGCTTTGAAGGTTTCCTTTGGTCCTGGCATGCGATTACAGGACTGTGTGGTGGTTAGACAGAACTAGCAAATGGGAGATTCCTGGCATCCTGACCCTTGGCTCAGGGTCATGTACTTATATATATGCTGCAATTTTCTATCTTTAATAATAAACGCGACGGTTCCAAAGGTTTTGGGGATGGATGGTGTTGTTTTTAAAGAAGACAGTAAACATAAAATGGATTAGCCATGTGGCTGATGACACCGGAGAGTAGATATCAAATGATGTCAGCACCCCAGGAAGCCTCTTCAAATGACGGAGGCATTGTAGGGACCACAGCAGCTGCGCGTTTTGCGCTGGGCTGATGTCCTTTTGGGTTGTGTTTTTGGTGCCTTGAGATAGCACATGCGGATGACTGCTACAATCGAATGGTATCATAGCTTATTCTAGTCATGGATTCATGAGTAAATTCACATTGACAAAGTTGTTTGTTTTGTTGGGTGATACCTGTTCTGATTTCCATAAATCAGAATAGCAGTGGATCTATTGAACAGTTTTCAACCTGGCTGTTGTGTGATGTGACGGAGTTATACTCTCCCATATCAGTTGGACAGTATCATGACTTTCACTTTTTAATTATAGCAATCACTATGCATATCCTGTAGTTATCCAGGGATTGCATACATGATACCATAGGATCCAAATTCCCTCGTGACTTCAAGTTCAGGTGATCTGAGCTGCATCCCCTCAGGTCGAGTTGCCTCCGCTCTAAGAGGAGAGAGGTCCGAGTCCGTGGCGGAATCACAGGTGGAGAAGGAGAGGTCTGGTGTTTCTCCACTTAAAGTCTGAGTGGCGGTGTGATTTTGGAAAAGCATATCCTATGTGACTTAGGCGATAGTCATAAGGATTGCAATCAGGTTCATGTTTTTGTTCAATATATGAGAGATTCTGGAACTGTTTATAAAATCTTTAGCTTTGATTTGTACATACAGTTGGTTGTAAACCATATTGTCACATTTTACCGATGGTATATCCATCAAATATGATCATTTACCACCTGTTGATTCCTAGTATATGTATCCCATATTTCATTGGTCAAATATTATCATTCACCATTGTACCCCCAGAAGATATCCCCACTACAAGTGAATGTATAAAGCAGTTCCCCATATTCCCATGCATTTTGCGATTATATTGCATTTCTTGTTACATTTTCATTTTCCATCACATTTTCTGACATCAACATGTTTCCTACTCAGAGAATAATAGTTTGTTGATTATAGATATCTAGTATCCAGTATTCCACATCATCCCACATTGTACTATATTATCCCATACCTTCCATATTCTCCATATTCTCCTATATTATCCCATATTGTCCCATATTATCCCCATGTTTTGCTTCTCCCCGAGGACCTGCACGTTATAAACCTTATTGTCCCATTGTATCGATGGTATTTGCATCGAATATGATCACTCTACCACCAGTTGATTCCTAGTATCCCATATAACATTGTTCAAATATTATCATTCACCATTGTACCCCCACAAGATATCCCCACCACCAGTGAATGTATAAAGCAGTTCCCCATATTCCCATGCCTTTGCGATGATATTGCATTTTATTTCTTACATTTTCATTTTCTCATATCATCCTCTGATATCAACATGTTTCCTACTCGGAGAAAAATAGTTTGTTGAGTATAGATATCTAGTCTCCAATATATCACATCATCCCACAGTGTACTATATTATCCCATACCATTCCATAGACTTCATATTCTCCTATATTATCCCATATTATCCCATATTATCCCATGTTGTCCATCTGTTGTGCTTCTCCCCCAGGACCTGCACAGTGCCGGGCCCCTCGGTTCATGCTTGTTATGTTGACGCCATGGTATCTTGGTTGGAAACCATCAAGGTCTCTCATGTTTCCTTTGTTGTGACAGTATGTTTGGGATTACATTACCCAAAGTAGAGTGGCAATGATCATCATTTTTAGAGGAATCCTGAATAAGGAGTATCATGGAATGAGAGAGGGATTTTGAACAGGGGTAAATCCACATTGACAAAGTCGTTTGTTTTGCTGGACTGTAATACATGTCCTGATTTCCCCGAATCACAATAGCTGTGGAGGAATTGAAGCTATTTGGATATGTTTGGAAAGGGACACTCATGCGCATTCTTTGGTTCCCTTCCATATGTTGTAAAGGAGAGGGTCAGAGGATTAAGCCTGAGAAGGTCCTTCCAAAATTTTCTAGCTATGAACCTCTATGCGGCTGCGGGATTCTCCAGCCAGCCATGTGGCTGATCACAGCGAGAGTAGATATCATCAAATGATGTCAGGACCTCAGGCGGCCTTCTTCAAACAATGGAGGCATGGTAGGGACCACAGCGGACGTGCGGTTTGCGCTGTTCGCATGGCTTTTTTGGTGTGTGTTTGTGGTGCCCTGATTGTTTATGTTTCCTGGTAATACATGTTCTGATTTCCCCCCATTCAGAATAGCTGTCAATCGGTGAAACAGCGCTCAACCTGGCCGTTAGGTGATGTGATGGAGGTATACTTCCCATATCAATTGGACACTATCATCATCTTCACTCTTAATTATATCAATGAATACCCATTAGATGCATAGGTTTGGTGTGCATATCGGTTAACTTTTAATTATCCAGCGATTGTATGCATAATACCATAGGTTCCAAACACCCCCTGACTTTGGGTCAGATGATCTGAGCTGCATTGCGTCAGGTCGCTTCGCCTTCGCTCCTGGAGGAGAGGGCCGCGTCTGTGGCGAAATCATTGGTGGAGAAGGAGAGTTCTGCTGTGTCTTCACGTTGAAGTCTGAGAGCCGGCAGATTTTGGAAAATCATATCCTATGTGACTCCGGGAATAGTTATAAGGATTGCAAATAGATTATGTTGTTGTTCAATATATGAGGGATTCCGTGATATGTTTATGGAATCTTTACCTTAGAGTTTTACATATAGCTGGTTATAAACCTTTTGTCTCAGTGTCTGATGGTATTTGCATCAAATATGATCACTCTACCACCAGTTCATTCCTAGTATATGTATCTCATATTTAATGGTCTTCGGCGTTTTTGGCCTGCCACCATGGAATGGGTGATCCTGCAACAGCACAACCACGAACAAGGCAGAGCCAGAAGACAGGCCAGCAGGCTGGTGGATTTCATTGGTCAAATCCTATCATTCATTATTGTATCCTTCATTCCTTACGTCACCATTTTTCCATATCATCCTATGACATCACTCTATTTCCTACTCACAAAATAATAGTTTGTTGGTAATAGATATCCAGGAACAATATCTACAGCATTCCAAATTGTACTATATTATCCCATACCATTCCATATTCTGCCGATTCTGCTATATTATTCCGTATTATCTTATATTGTCCATATATTGTCCCATACAATCCCCTATTGTCCCTATATATATATATATAAGCAGTCATATGCCCATGATTTTCCCGTGATGATCCCATCTCCCCATGAGATCGGCCCAGGACGGCCTGGCCTAGAGCTTTTGGCAGCCCGGAGCACAGCGAACTCAGCGATGTGTCTCGGCACAGGAAGCAAACGGCGGAGGCGACGCAAGTCGGGCAGCGTTGGGGCAAGGGTTGTTGTTTGCAGGTTGAAGCCATGCCCCATAAAAATGTCCATTAGCTAAAAGTATCCAAGGATGTTATGATTTTCCATAGTATCAATGTTAGTTTACTAGATATGATGAATCTCATATACTCAATGATTTTTGTGTATCTATACATGTTGACAGCCTGACATACAGTTGACGACCCTTGTAATTATATATGGGTATGTCAGTGTACCAGAAGGTATCCAAAAATGTTGGTTCCCCAATAGCTGGATTGTGTCCAGTGAAGAAAACTAACATAGATGAGTTGGGGGGACCCCTATATGGAACCCTCATCTATATCCGCTATGTCTACAGCTAGAGTTACAGTAAAGACATAATGGACATAACCTAGCGATATATGTCCTATAATTTGCTCGAGAGTCTTCGCACATCATATAATTTTCACAAAGCACCACGACCACCTTAGAGATGATGTTGTGAGGCTGTCTACCAACTGGTGCAGGAGTTCTGATGAACTCACAATACCAAAACATGCCTAGTGAATCAGGTAATGTGGGTAAAACAAGTTCATAAGGGAGCGTCCAACAATCACTCTATTATGTGTGGCGTGATTACCAGATCCAAATGTAGGATTAACGGCATCCTGTTAACATGTCCAGACCACACTTTGGTTGGTGGCTTGGATTTTTCCATGGGTCTGGAATGTCATCATCCAAATTGATGTCATAGTTTCCTTCAGAGGGGTACGTATACCAGCACCCAGATATATGTATATAGGACATGTATACTTTTGAAACCCACCAGATCCCACCTACATTCATGTTTCAATTTGGGTCATTATATACATACATATATATATATATACATGCAATAGATATGTGTCTATATATGGATATATATATATATGTATAGACATTGCCACCAACCGGAATTAACAGGTGAGGCCTCCATGTCTTCATCCGTGGCTCCAGACTGCTATCACTTTTCCAGGAGGACCACACAGCGCAGGGCGTCTCGGTGGATGCTGTCTACGTTGGCACCACGGTATCTTTTGTAGGAAACATCAAGGGCTTTATGTTTCCAATGTTGTTGGATAGTTAGTTTGGGATTATAACCCAGAATAGGGTGGGAGTCATTTTCATCCAATAGAGGAATCCCTATACACCAGTATCATGGAATGAGAAAGGGTTTTCGAATATGTGTTTTATGTTTCGTTAAGGTTCAGATCGGGTAAGCTAGATCTTTGGTTTTGTGGCATTGATGATTAGTTGTTGAGTATGTTTTTGTGGATGCGATCTGCTTTTGAGCGGTGGCAATTTGATCAGTGTCACCGGGACATGCAAGGTTTGGCCGGGGACTGCCGCGTCTGATGAGGATTTTAAGTCCCTCGTCCTGCTGGGATGTGACACAGTACTTGAAAGACATGGTGGTCATTGGAAAGGATGTGTTTGTATCAAAAATTGCAAACTTGAGAGTTACATCTCGGAATGTAGGAACCATGATTTGCCATGCACTTGAGGCTGAGAGTGTTGACATTGAGCAGCCATGAAACAAAGCTTGGGCGTCTGGGTGACCGTGGGAAGTCGGGCACATGTGAGCAATATTGAGTACGAGGCCCAAGTTCTGATGATGGATTGCGGGTTGGGTATGTAATTGAGTCCTTGGACTGTCGACAGGAAACCAGGGGTCAAGACATAGAACATCTTGTTGGGCAACCAAGTGTCAGAGAGTGTACTAGGCTGGCACCAGCAGCTTTGTTCTATGCATATCTAGGTTTGGTTGAGGAGACCAAGAGTTCTGTGCTACAAGTGAAATGAGGTTTGTGGTTGCCATACCATGATTTGCCTCAAGTGATGTTTGTGTGTGTGTTTTTGTTTTGGCTGAATGTAGTGAGTGCTGAGCCGCAGAAAAGCAAAACCCAAAAAAGCGAATGGCTAAAAGTCAAACCAGGCGCCTCTGCGCAAATGTGGTATATACCCGTTTTTGGAAAACCCAAGAAAGCAAGTTTCTAGCAGTCAAACTAGGCGTCTCTGCGCTACTGTGGTCTATTCCAGACAGTTGTTGGGTCATTGGCAGAGATGATACAATGCAAGCATGTTGGTAAGTCATGTGCTGCTGAAAGGCACCGTGGAGATGAGGAAAGTGGCAACAGTCTAGTGCAGGTCTGAAGCATGGCTGTGGTCGAGGAATTGGCTAATAGAGGCAGAAGCCGTAGGAAATACCTGCAGTAGCCATGAGCAAACGATGGAATGAGAGTCGAAGACGCAAGAGAGCAAGGGCTGTTACTGTGAAGGAACGGAGGTTCCAGAAAGTGCTGGCCGAGGCGCGCACATCAGGACGCCACGGCATGAGAGGAATCAGAGCATTGGGTTGGACATGATCTGCATGTTGGTTGTCAGCAACCATATTCTCTTGTCGATGTAACACTTGGTGTGGGAACGTAAATGGTTGAGGGTCTGGATGTGGTCTGAAACAGTTGTCTGACGAAGTAAGTGCGATGCCAGCAGGGGAAATGGCAGCTCCTTGTATTCAGCAGGAGATTTGCAACAGCGAGTGCTGGTGAAGCGTGGCTTCAGCTGGGTGTTTCAGCGAATCCATGCAGCAGCATTGCAGGAGCGGCGAGCAGCTGTGCCACAGCGGCGACAACCGCGAGCTTACGGGAAGTTGTGGACTCGTAGGCTGGGGCGTCGAGGTGTCAGGCAGCACAACAAACATGGCCATCAGAAAAGACGAAACAAAAATTCCCCGAAGATCAAAGGTGCTAGAAAGAGTGCCTCCCCTGGGGCCCAAGTAAAATCTTCCAAAAGCATGGCCATGAAGACAGCATAACTTTTTGAGGCGAGGGGTGAGGAATCCATGCGTTAGTAATGTAGTGTAGTTCTTGTAAGTACAGTGTTGAAATCGTTGTCACAGGTTTTATGTTGTTTGCAGAAGCGCTGGCAATCTTGGGTGTATGACGCTTTTTGGTGCCGCAAAGCTGTCGGATGGAACGGATAGGAGAATGTATACAGAAGACCAAGCCATCGTTTCAACACGGTTCTCTGCATTGGCGTAGATTGTAAAGTTAGATTTTGGGTCTTAAAATTGAAGCCATGACAGCGTTGTACTCGTTCATGGGATGAAAACAAAGCCGACCAGGTTCTTCTTGGCAGCGGCAGCCAGGCTGAGAATGCTGCGCAATGAGCTTGTGGCTTGGTTGGAAGTGCTACTTGTAGCCAGGAGGAACCCAAAGCGCTCATTCGAAGTAAAGAGTGTCCAAAGAGTGTGCATGATGGAATGGCTATTTGAAGCCAACATGAGCTCATTGCAATCAGGAAGGGCGTGGGCGTATGGATGGTGTGGCAGCGCTGTGGCCAGAAGTGCATGAGTTGGCCGACAAGCCAATCTGCAATGTACCAAGACGTATTGCATCTGAAGCATTGACAAAGGGGATAAGAGTCAGGACAGTGAAACAGGGGATCTAAGTCCTGAAATTTTGATGGTTTGGAATGCTTGAAGAGGAATTGAATCGAAGTTTGTGGGTATTTCTGCAGACCATTGTGAATATTCCTGAGATAGAGTCTAGCAATAGAATGCACATGGTGTGTTGTCGCCTCAGCCTGGGCTGTGTCTAGGCACACCGTGCCCTGGATCGGACCAGCCGTGGACTTCTCCTGAGCTGTGCAAAATCTTCGTATCGCACGTGCCAGCTGCGGGTCATTGTCCAGAGGATGATTGCCATAGACAAGGCAGGACATTTCTGCGTAATGCATGACAACTTGTTTGCTGGTACATATGGACGCAGAAGCCATTGGATCTTGATTGAAGAAGGTTGTCTTGGAGTAAATGGACGAAGCACATGATGTAGCTTCTTGTGACTGGAGTGGATTTGCTCAGTGCCAGTCCTAGCATTCCTTTTTCCATTCATTTCCCATCATCAGATCGCCCCGTGATGTCCCGATTGCCTGCCAGAAGCGTATGGATGAGCTGGGGGAGGTCACATGGCCACGGCGCTACCTCTTGGCATCTGCGATCAGATCAATGATCGGTCGCTTGGGCCCAAGCTTGGCCTACAGGCAGGGGTGTACAGGAAGTACAGTTTTTGAGGAATGAGACATCTGTAGCAATTGAGTTGGGCTTGCTTTGTGCAACCTGTGTTCCAGGCCCTACGGGCATGGAGTCAGCAGGAGTGCCTATGTTCAGAAGGCATTGGCGCTGCTGCGCACTGCAATACAGGCCATTGAGCAAGATGAACTGCAAGGCTTCTTGTCCTCGACCACGTATTGCTTTGCCAGCTACCAAGCAACATGGCATAGGGTTTGGTGCGTCCAATGCAGCCGGCATCCATGAGAGGGAGGTCAACAGGGAGTAGTAGCATGGTGATGGTCACAATTTGGTCTGCGGCATATGAGTGGCTGCAAGCTCGTTTTTGTGATTGCTCATATATGACCTGGCCCATATATTGACAATGTCCCATCCTGTATTGTGATTCGACTAAGCACGGGCAGACTTGGGGGGCCTTGCAAGCTTGATGTATTGGTGCAAAAAGAGCGCATGCAATTGGCCACACTTTGATTGCTTTGACGAGGCATCTTTGGACTTTGAAATCTTGTTCGGGTGGCAGCCGCCTGCAATGACGGGTACTGGTTCCAAAGTTCAACAGACTGGAAAGCAGTTTAAATGGAGGACAATCAGGCGTGAAACTGAGCCGGGGAAAATGGTTTTCATGCGGTGACATACATATTGCAGCAAGGCTGAATGGAAGTTCTGAGTTTTCTTTTCGGGCTATAGCGAGAGTCGGGGGCAGGTGGTGGCTCTGATGTTGGACAGGATAGATGTTTACATCACAGTTTCATGTTGTTTGTAAAGGCATAGCATTGTCATTGGTTGGCATTCCCATTGCAGGCGAATCACCAGAGAGGCTGGAAAGCATTTGCAATTCCAAGCCGAGCTGAAGGCTTTGGGCATCCCGTGGTGCGCACATTGCACCCAGTTTTGGACATGTGAATTTCGTGCCTGGGATTGCTGTTCGCCATTTTGGTTCCTGGTGGAAGTTGGCATGTCATCCAATGCATTTGGATGAAACTTGGGATCCCCAAATTGGTTGAGGGTGTCCCCAGAAAGCTTTAACTGAAGAGGACATAATGCAGGTGCTCCAACCAGAATCTTAGCAATCGTTAGGCATGGCTTTCGGTTGCCTGGTAAGGCAAGATACAACGCAAAGGGCACCGCAAGCATGTGCATCACCCTTTGTCCTCAAGGGACAAAAAGCAGATTCGATCGTCCGATCCTGAGGGGCAGTGTGGGACCATCTTTGCAACCTTCAGCTTGCAATTGCCGAAATGACAATGACAGTAAGAAATTGTGTCACTAGCAAATTTAGGCAGTGGCATGTTTTTTTCTGAAAAAGTCACGTCACGGCATTTTAGAATGGCTACCCAGGATTTGTATGGCTCATCTGGGGCTTGTCGTGTTGTTACAAGGACCATAGCCTTGCTGAGGTGGAAGGGTTAGGCCAGCCTGCCGTTCATGTTGAAAAGGTGGAACAGCTGTAAGGCTAGTCGGTTGGAAGTTAAAATAGCTATTGCCAATGATTTTCGTCGCTTTTTTCCTGGGGTCGCATTTGATTTATCATCTGGGTATCAGAAAAACATGTCATGCTGCACCTTTCTTGGGAGAACCCAACAGATGTAGGCCTTTGTTTCGGCACATCACTTCTCTGTTGCTGCGGATGTAAATCATCTGGGTGGCCAGTGCGCCATGTTTTGGATGGAGAATTTATCAGGCTGAGGCATTTTCCAAGATATTTGAGCCTTGAAACAGCAATTTCTGAATTCCAAAAAACGCGGCAGTGTAGCAACTACAAGGAAATAGTGTTATAATGTGGCCAACTCGAATTATGTATTGCACAGGCAGCGCAGGAAGTTTGAATCATAAGAAACATATCGGGGCGGTTTTTGTTGGGAGTTGTAGATGGCGAGGCAAAGCCACTGCTGGATCGAAGAGTGGTTGGAGGCAGGGCTGTTGCTGCTGTTGTTGTTGTCGTCGTCGTCGTCGTTGTTGTGTCTTTGTTCTACTACTACGACGATTACTACTACTACTACTACTACTACTACTACTACTACTACTACTACTACTACTACTACTACTACGACTACTACGACTACTACGACTACTACGACTACTAGGACTACTACAGGTACTACGACTACTACGACTACTACGACTACTACGACTACTACGACTACTACGACTACTACGATTACTACTACTACTACTACTACTGCTACTACTACTACTACGACGATTACTACTACTACTACTACTACTACTACTACGACGATTACTACTACTACTACTACTACTACTACTACTACTACTACTACTACTACTACGACTACTACGATTCCTACTACTACTACTACTACTACTACCACTACTACTACTACGACTACTACGACGACTACGACTGCTATGACTACTAGGACTACTACAGGTACTACGACTACAACGACGACTATGACTACTATGATTACTACTGCGAGTACTACTACGACTACTACTATGAATACTACTATGACTATCACTACTACTACGACTATTACTACCACTACTACTACTACTGCTGCTGCTGCTACTGCTACTGCTACTGCTACTGCTACTACTACTTGCCTTTCGAATGTTTTTTCGGTTACAGGGCATGTCTTTGATGGGAGGAACAAATAGTTTCCAGTAGATTGTTCAACAGTCAACCCATGACTTGGCTTTAATGCGCAGGAATTGCGATTGAATACCGTCTGGCAATCAAGCATGGGTGGCTGGACAATCTCCTTTGATTTATATTTGGAAGTCACCTATAAGTGGTCCACTGGTGTCTATTTCCCAGCCAGCCATGTTTGATTACCAGAGTGGAGCTGATTTGCCTACAGATTCTGGGGTGACCACACCATTTGGACCAATGGACTGGAGGCTTTGGCCTCCTTGTGGAGCGCTGTGGAGATTTGGCCGGGGAGAGGGCCGCCTGTGAGGCCGGGGATGTTTGTTCGGGAGGTTGGCGTCAGAAGGAAGGAAGTCTGAAATTCAGCAGAAAAAGGTATAATCATACATATATACACATAATGTGATTATACATATATAGTTTTATGTATATATGTTTATATATATATAGATATATATATATATGTTAATATATATATATATATATATGATACACATATCCATATAGGATACATATATATATATGTACATAAGGGTTTTCGCCTGTGCATAATGATTAAACACAAAAAGTCGAACAAAAAGGTTGGACATCATGAGGAGTCACGGAAATGCTGCCACATGCTCGGCAGGGGTACGAGCCCAAGGTGCAAGAGTCCCATGGGCGTACATACATGAATATGTATAGATTTTTTCTGCTGGTCTTCAGAGCACCACCCCGAAATGACATTTGGCAACATGGAAAGTGATGATATGCCAGCAAGAGATGGGTACCTCTTGTTAAGATTTTCCAATATATACCCATAAGGATGAATCATTATGAATACATCCCGTATGCATGAAATACATCCTGTTTCCCCCATTCTAGATCCAACTGATGATCCCTTCCGTAGTAACACAATTTTGATGTTTTCTTCCTACATGTTGGGAATCTGGTGACCTCATGTCCCAGCTGGAGGTGAATTCATAGACGGCAAAGAGCAAAAGTGGGATTGAGGCTATAAAAAAATGCATGTGACCGTGTAAAGAATGGGATATCACTGCAGATTTGTGCTTCAAATAATAAGAATACAGATCAACCCGATGAGTAGTTGGGAATCTTTTTTTGTAATGGATCCCAGGGTTGCCTTGGAGACTGAAAGAACTAGCTTACATAGGAGATATTATTTACGACCAGCGAAGTGATCTATATTTTCAGGGTGACCCAAACTGATTTGACGGGCCTTTTCGGCTTGAGATTGATTTGATAATTAAGTCATGGCATCTGTGGTGTCAACAAAGCACTTATGATGGGTGATGTATTGAACCCTCCCTGTTCTGCCAAGGATCAGGGCGCATATAGTTTCCGATTCGAACCTTTTGGCCCCATAGTATCTGAGGCAAGGGGTGATTGGATTGTCTTTTGCCAGCACGCGATTTGTAAGACCTGATATTATTGCATCGTAACACCATTGAATCATGGAAGGGACACTCTGGAACTTTGGAAAAGTCTGGGTCCGGGACTTTCCCTGTGAACTTCTATACAAACTTGTTCTTGTGGGCTTGGGGCTTGGCATTTTCCTCTAAATTTCCACACAAAATGGCTCTTCTGACATGCCCAGGCTGCCCAGGTTCATGTGTATGCTTTCTTATGTGCTTTCATATGTGTGCGCCTCTTGTGCTTTCCTATGTGCTCTCATATTTGTGCTCTCATATGTGTGCACTCCCTTGTTTATTTTCATATGTGTGGTCTCCTATGTGTGCTCTCATAGTGTGCTACTCTATGTGTGATCTCATATGGGTGCTCTCCTTTGCGTGCTCTTCTATGTGTGTTCTCATATGTGCTCCTCTGTTTGTGCTCTCATGTTGCTCTCATGTGTGTGCTCTCCTATGTGCTCCTATGTGCTGTCACATGTGTGCTTTCCTATGTCCTGTCATATGTGTGCTCTCATATGTGTGCACTCCTATGTTTGCTCTCATACTTGTGCCCTCCTATGTGTGCTCTCCTCTGTCTGCTCGTCTATGTGTGCTCTCATATGGGTGCTCTTTTCTGTGTGTTCCTGTATGTGTGCTCTCATATGTTCTCTCCTGTTTGTGCTGTCCTGTGTGCTTTCATTTGTGTGTGTGCTCCTGTGTGCTCTCACATGAGTGCTCGCATATGTGTAATCCTATGTCCTCTCATATGTGTGCTCCTCTGTGCTTTCATATGTGTGTTTCTCTGTGCTCGCAAATGTGTGCTCTCCTATGTGCTCCTATGTGCTATCGCATGTGTGCTGTCATATGTGTGCTATCAGATGTGTGCTCTAAAATGTGTTCTCTCATATGTCTGCTCTCTTAAGTGTGTGCCCTCCTGTGTGCTTTCATTTGTGTGTGTGCTCCTGTGTGCTCTCACATGTGTGCTCTCATGATACTCTGTCCTTTTCGCAATTCCACCCATCACACTGTTGGGGGTCTGTTGCCGGGATAATTTTCCTCTTTCTATGTTAGGCATTACCAAAAAGTCCCCATCAAATTCCAGCCAACCACCATTTCTATTGTTTTCCCATTGTCTTCCTATGGCATCTGCCATCTATGCCTTCTTCAGCTTAGGTGCTCAGGGGCTGCTCTCGGCACGTCGCACGCAGCAGCTGGTCCTCTTGGGCTCCTGGAAGTGCTATCTGGTGCCTCGTTACCCACCTTTTTGTGATTTTTGGTGATTTAATGGACTTATACTGACTTCAGGTGATTTTATGGGAATTCTAACGGTGATTCATGGTGATGTAATGTATTGATGGTGATCTATAGTGATTTATGGTGCACAATGGTGTACAGAATTCTTCAACTTTTGGACTTTTGGGAGACCAGTTCAGGCAACCTTTGCAATTCCTTTGATGTGGGGGAAAGAAGAGGATGAAGTTGTTGGTTGAGCCTTTCAGACTTGACAGGAACGCCATGGCCTAGAAAAAAGCTAAGCGAATGTGTTTCAATGAGACATTTTGGGGAGTGCCTTGGCCTCTTTGTCTGTGGAGGCCAGAATCTATTTCTTAAATAAACCCAATTTACAGAAACTATTTCTTAAATCAAAACAATTTGCAGAAACTATTTCTTAAACAAACCAAATTTACAGAAACTATTCCCTAAACAAATCCAAGTTTTGGAAACTTTTGAAAATATCCAATATATTATACATTAATTTTTTAAAAAAAAACTAAAAATAATTCAAGTTACGCCTTCTAGGGATTGGTTTGAAACGGTTTGAAAACGGTTTCGGACTATTACCTAGCAAGTAGCGGGAAACGGTTTGAAACGGTTTCGGACTATTTGCTAATTAGCCATTCTCAGAAACTATTTGAAACTATTTGAAACTGTTTGAAACTATTTGCAGTCTTTGCCAGGGTGAATTAGCAAATAGTAGGAAACGGTTTCGGACGGTTTCGGACTATTACCTAGCAAGTAGTGGGAAACGGTTTGAAACGGTTTCTGTGATACCCTTACTCTGCCTTAAACCATCAAACAAGACAATATACCAATAAAGATAAATAAAACTTAAGTTGACAAATATATACACATTATGACAAATTGAAACTTCTTACAGATTGAAAAGTAAGAAAGAAACAATGACTGATTCTGAGATGAGGAGTCAAAGAACATAGAACGAAACAGAATGAACATAGAACGAAACAGATGAAGGGTGCCTGCGCCAACAGCCTGGCAGCCTCTCTCTCTCGGTGAGAACATGGCTCACTTGTCTGAGGCAATCTCTGGACTTTAAGTGATTGACTGCTATCCTTGTCCAATGGTTGGGATTGGTAAAAGCAATCCTGGTTTTGTAAATGGTTTCTGGGTTTGGGGCCCAGATTAAGAAATAGTTTCTAGGATTTAAGAAATATTTAAGAAATAGTTTCCAGGATTTAAGAAATAGTTTCTGGGATTTAAGAAATAGTTTCTGGGATTTAAGAAATAGTTTCCAGGAATTAAGAAATAGTTTCCAGGATTTAAGAAATAGTTTCTGGGATTTAAGAAATAGTTTCCTTTCATCTTAGGAAGGTTGAGCTGGTAGGCTCCCGACGAAACCGGACCCGCTGGGCTCCCGCGACAGACCTTGACAAATAGAGAAAAGTTCAGGCACACACCGGTCCGGACTTTTGGGGGAAACCCCCGACTTGGGTATCCTCTGAGGTGTTTCAAATGCCATGTGGCAAAGGCCCGCTAACACCATCCCCCAACTCACCCGCAAAGGCTATCAGCCACATGGTTTTGTTTGGGGAGCAATTTTTTTTGATCCCACAACTTGTGGGTATCGCGTGTGGAAGTATTCGCGGCGTTGTATGGTGCATTTAGCAAAAACTGCGTTGGGACAGGGTATGTGTTTATGCTGCTGTTTGAGACACCCTTTCCTGGATTGAAACAGCATTACAATGGTATGGCGCGATAGTATTCCCAATTGGATTCTAGATGGTTTCAAATATCAAGCGTCAACAGTTTCAGTGTGGTGAGCCATGGGTGAAGGAGGCTCTAGTACTATTAAACTGGCATGTGCGGTAAAGACCCATTGGCAAATGCGTGTTCCAAGATTGACCAGGTTTGCCCTGACAACATGGTCAATATCAACTTTTACTTGCAAATATTACCCCTTTGATTCAAGCAATGGTTTCTGGAAAATCAACATGATTTAGCAACTGGTTTCTACATGTGCTCCTTTACTTGAAAAAATGTTTCTACATATCCTACTTATTTAGCAGATGGTTTCTAGTATTTAGCAAATGGTTTCTAGTATTTAGCACATGGTTTCCAGAATTTGGCAAATTGTTTCTAGTATTTAGCAAATGGTTTCTAGTATTTTGCAAATGGTTTCCAGTATTTAGCAAATAGCTTCTAGTATTTAGCAAATAGTTTCTAGTATTTAGCAAATAGTTTCTAGTATTTAGCAAATGGTCTCTAGAATTTAGCAAATGGTTTCTACCTCTGCAAGAAATAGTTTCTGGATTTTACAGAAATGGCAAATAAAGAAGCCAACGCACTCCACAAGAGACATTCGTGACTGTGAAAGAGTGCATACAACTGGTACATATTTAGGAGAATTAGACCGTTGGAGTTACGTAAAGACTTGGAAACAATGTGGAGTCTGGTCATGGCATACATGCAGGTAAGTGTGATGATAACATGTTCCATTATACTATTGTGTCGGTATGTGTCAACCAAACCGGAACAACAACTGGCCACAGTTTTACCAGGCTGAGTGTCCAGAAGTGGTCGCAAGATCTGATGCCAAAGACTCATTCAGGCCATTGTTGCCACTGGACATGGCTCCGTTTTGGGAGCCCCTCCAAATCGATTCCGGCAATATCTCGATGATACCCTCCGGTCAAGTAACATAGCTGTGGAATCACGATTTTTAATACGAAGATTTACCATGAATCCATGAATGATCATTTTCCACTTCGCTATGTTAGGCATTGCTAACAGGTAGTCCCATCAAAGTCGATC